AATAAAGCTGGAAAATATCGACAAAAAAATCTCAGCGGGACGCTCTAGGATGGCCCGACTTGAGTGTACGGTCGCCCATATGGGCTTTCCGGCGGTGACCTTAAATAAACATTAAGAAAAATGTATGCGCGCTCGCTTAGAAAGCGAGAGGTCTGGAGTTCAAATCCCAGTTAAGGCAACTCATTTTTTTTCAAACTTTTTAAGTCAAATAAACATTGGATTGAATATCAGTGTTGCAAGTAGTGGCACTATACCAAAACAAATTGGTTTATAATCTCACAACCTGCACCTTGAACCAAACAAATTCAGCGCCTTCTGTGCTTTGATTTATAGAGTTCCTATATTCAATAAAAATATATCAAACTACAACCTTCAGGTGATTTCTTCCCGGCAAAGGGGTTTACCATGTGTAACATCGCTCTTGTTTGTTTTTATGGTTATTAATAGGTCGTCCTTACCCTACTATGTGTTTTCAATTAAGTACACGACAATCATTCCGAAAGGGTTTAAAATATTCTCCCTCGTTGATCTGTACTTTTAGTGTTAAAGAAATAATATCATGAACATCCCTAATCAAATTTATATTGTTAAATGTTCAAAGGTTTGTTTGTTAACCCGATGCGCCTGATGAAGGATTTTGGCTGCAGCTTTGGAACCCTTTCATAAACAGGTTTATTACGAGCCGAGCCTATTTTGTTTCACTTTGTTTCTTAGTAGAAGTATCTCAAGCCTTTCATCATGTATTGCATGTTTGATAAAGATAAACACATTTAGAAACTAACTTGTTGTTGTGTCGGGCGAATAAAATTTCTAACGTGACATGCTCATAATTGACACATTAGTGCCAAAGCGCATAGTGGGCGTGACTTCATGTGTCAAAATATATGCAAACCTCGTTGAAAATATGTTTGCTATTACTATTTCGCAAATGTATTGTTAAGCACGAGAGGTGTAAATTTAATTCAAGGAAACATGCAATACATGATATTAAGATAATAAACATGCAACTTTAGGATAAAATGTCATTTAAATTACCGGATAGACCTTCCCTAAAGTTACATTGGATGACAATCGACACACCGTGTGCTGTCTGTAATAGGGCGTCCGTGGCCGAATACTATAGGTTGTTGTCTTTAAACTGCTATGGACTGGAGTAAATCCTGGGACGTTGGATTATAGTATGTGAGGAAGCGGTCCAGCTAGCATACGGAACGTCGATGATCGCCAATTGATCTTTACGGTGTTGGTGCGCATTAAATCCAGCCAATAAAGTATACACGGTTTTGTTATATATTCGAGTCTTTGTGTACTAAAGTGATGAAAAAAGTTTGTTAGTGATAATTTTTAATTAAAACATAATTTAATTGTTGATTATCTATTACTCTTCAAACCTAATCGATAGTGGTAATTCAAATATCTTTGTAACTGTGTAATTGTTATTTTTAAATTAAAATATGATAAACAAGATCAACAAGGAAAGGCGGCATTCAATGAACGCAACCCCCAACCGACCCAGCGACAAGAGCCAGCGGCAAGGAGCCCAGGAGAACCCCAAACAAAAAATTAATCAGCTTCTTATATTTTTTATTTTGCTTGGTGGATGTGGAATTACTCATTTTTCGTCTATAGCCATACATGTTTCAAAAATCTAGAAAGAAATATGGTTAAGGAATTAACACTGCATGGATTGCATTATGTTTAATTGTTGCATTTATTCCGCGCAAGATCAAAATATTTCACTCTCTCAATGCATGTTGTTTTATAGACACGTATTGATTAGTGGGATACATTACATGATTTATGATCAAAACAACAGGAATCGAAAAATAAATGAGGAAATAATTAATTTAATACATGGTTAATTATTTCCTAAATAAAGTAAGCCACACATGCAATGTAATTAATTAAAAGTATTCTTCATAAAATAGCCTGATAACCTACAAAGGAATATATATCAATAAGCAGATAAGTTCCATAAAAGCGGCAGCAAAGATAAAACTTAGCCTACGAAAATCAATGATGTGTATTTTGAAAACACAAAACAACACAATTAAATAGACATATCCCTGTTTCTTAGTATAAAAGGTCGTGTTCCATCTTTCTAAACAGATCTTTTAGTTTGAATCAGTTTCAAATATCGTGCATGTTATGCCCCTTAAAAGCGTATCAATGAATACTACACGTTTCAAATGTATTCAAAATTACTTTGACAACATGTAATATGCTATCAATTCAAATAAAAAATGGAATACTATGAATCTGAATTAATTTGGCAAAGACGAATAACATTATGACTTCTTGGCTACATGTGAAAAGAAAATATGATGAAACACTTTCCACAGTCTAATAATGGTAATATGGCAAATTTAAATGATAATGAACACTTACACACATTATTAACTTCCATTTCCTCTTATGCTTAGAACCAAATATAAAATGAAATGCTATGTCAGTGAATCTAAAATTTGCAATATTGATTAGCCCTTTGTTCACTAAGAAAAAAAAAATAGATAAATGATCAAATGATTTTGGTTCTATTTCCATTGCTTTATGAATCTGAAATTGATCGTATTATGCAAAACATTATGGGAACATACATGTCAGCAAAAAAATAAAATGCTGCTTTGCATTGAATTTTTTTTTTTTATATAAATAATCGAATCAAATTAAAGATCAATATTAGCATTAGATCGATATTCGGATCAGTTGTAAAGCAAAGTAACAATTAATTTATTCTAAAATGTGATTAGCATGCTATATAACGTCAGCTTTAATCAAATTGTTATTTAGCATTAAATATTAGTCATTCTTGGTTTATTCAAAAGAGATGGGAAAAAATGAAATAGCACAATCATTGAGGTGTGGCGGCGTGGCTTAGTGGTTAACACGTTGGATCAGTAGTCGAATGATCAAGAGGGAGGCAAACTGTTGTTTCTTTTGCAAGAAACTCAACATTTGTTTATTAGTTTATTAGTTATTTGTTTATTAAATCGTGTGTGTTTAAATTTGATTATAGCTTACACCATCAACCTTAAATTAATTCGTATAAACTATTAACTATAACATTTTGCTCTTGTGAAAGATAATATGATTTGATGAAGACTTAAATCGAAAACAGTTTTATCTTTACAAAACCAAATCAATTCGATTTTAGATTCAAAATAAGCACCAGTAATTTTTAATGTGTTGTTAATCAAAAGTTTGATTGATAATGCATAGTCTATCGAGCATAATGATTGTGTTGCTTCAGTCTTGAATGACTTAATGTAATGTTATCATTTCATTTGTAAACATATTGATTTACTCGTATCTTTACGTATGTTAACTCAGGACATAAGACATAGTTAAGTTAATGTGTACTATTATAACATTTTTGTTATACATTTTACGTCAATGAATAAAAGAGTGAAATAAAGTTTTTAAATTTAAATACCGCTGCCTTTTTTATGTTCTTTACATGTTATACAGGCCTTCTGATAATGTCATAAATTATTAATACCAAACAAAACATGTCGGTTTTAAACGAATGAACAATATATGTGTCACGCAAAATGACCACGCGTTATTTGAAATGCAGGAGTGTTCTGCCATTTGACTCGATGATGTTTTGGTTTTCTTGACATTTATTGATCTTGCTTCTCTGATTTTAATGTCATAAAATGTATGGTAATGTCCATTTCCAGCCGTAATATATATGTTACTAGTACATAATTTACAACCGTCATAATTTCGTAATTAATACTTTTTGTACTTACTTTCGTACATATTAACGTGATGTGATCAAAACTGGCAATTTATAGATGTAATATGTTAACATGCATATAAAACACTGATCTGATATAAGCATTCATTATTTTATTTAGTCTAGCTATTCAGCTAACTCAGTTATTCTATAGTGCTTTTATCATTTTCTCATTATTTTGAAAATGGAATTTTAGGCAGTAACCTAACAATAAGTGATGCAAATTAATAGAAAATATGTACAGCTTTTTATCTTCTTCCAAACGTCGGGTTCTAAGTAGTATTAGTTTTTTTATTCAATCAATAGATATAGTCCGTGATTTTTTTTTAAAGTTCAAGTTACATTTTGTATTGCATTTATCTTTTTATTTTCCCATTTCATAATTTGGATACTATTAAATTGATGTTACCTTTATTATAATTGTTAATACAGAAAAAATGTTTCACTGCAGTTAAAAATGAATTTTTACAGTGAAAATACAGAAAAGAAACGCATTTTATTTCGTCAATATTTCATCTATTAGTATGTAATAAAATCATATTTAGGTTCTCTCGAACTGGTAAGGGGGAGTCTGTGGGGCGAGTGGCTAAGGTTGTTGACTTCTAACCACTTGCTTCTCACTGCTTGGGTTTCGAATCCCGACAGGGACTTTGGATTCTTTCATGTGAGGAAACTATGCAGCTAGCTTACGAAACGTCTGTGGTTCTACTCAGTAAAACTTGAACATCGCCATGTGACCTTTAATTGTCGGTGTGACGTAAAACTCAAACAAACTTGAACCGTTATAATGCATGTCTTCTATTTCCATTACAATTAAATCATAACAAAAATGCATGTACATTATCTATGAATAATTGCATGATATGTATGTTTAAATTGTCGAACTCGGGTAAAGTTTCATTATATTTCCTATAATCTAATATTTAAGTTAAAAAGGGGATAAAGAAAGAACATGTTATTTCAAGGAATAGACAACTTGTTTCCTACTCTAGTCTTAATTAAATTGGAAAACAATTTAAAGCAATGATAGGTTCTCCTAAATGTATTTATGTGGTAAATATGTGCTGTATAAACTAATCCTTCTTAGTATAATTAGCCGACATTTTTTATCATTTATAAGATTCCAGTTAAGATAGCACGAAGTCCAACATCAAAAGGTACCTTGCAGAATGATACGCTGATGTCATTAAAAGACAATGGGTTCATCGTCACAAATCCGGCATCGAGCATGCGGGTTATTACTTTGAAAAACCGTAAGATGGGTACAATGTAGCACGCAGATTTAGCCGCGCAGGCATTCATTCCGTCACTTCCGGAACGCCAAAGCGGAAGCTGATGGATATATGATCTGTTTGTATCGGGCATTATTTGTACGTATATGTCTACATTGTGTTTTGTACATTAAACAGAGGAGGTGGATTAAAGTACATTTTTCATGTATATGTATTTTAGTTTTCTGTGCCATTTACAAAAACATAGATATGATGCGAGCTATTAACCCTTGGTTTTATCTATTTAGTAGCTAATTATACGATTGATTAATTATTCATAATAATATTCTGTGTTCATGTAGTTGTTATTTGTCTCGAGGATTCCTGGCGAGTTGAGTTTTTTATTAGTTTCTGTCAAAAGACCAAGATAACATGGAAAAAAATTTACTAACGTGTCTCCAAGAAATTATTGTTGTATTTATTTTTCTTTGGATTAATCATGGTTTTTCAGAAGCAGATACTTTGGAAAGGGGACGTTTTACTCGTACATCTACATTTAAAATAGAAAAGGTATCTTATATCCCTCAAACCGATGCAGCGGTGATTCTACATCATGAAAAGTCATTGTTATCCTGTGTCTATCATTGTCAAAGTCTTGAGCTGGCATCGTCATATTTCAATGAGAATAACTCCACATGTTATTGTAGTACTGTTGATGATAACAATAAAGATAACTATGAGAATGTAGACGCAGACATAACCCATGGAATAAGAACTGAAATGATGTCGATAGCTTACATTCAAGTAAGATTTGTTTTAAATCGTTGATTCATAATTTTATTTAATAAACAGCCTTGCGCGGAAGAGCGTCCGCTTCGAATGCTGGAGGCCGTGGGCTCGATCCCTGGCCGTGTCATACCAGTAGTTCCCTTGCTTAGCGCTCAGCGTTAAAAGGGAGAAACTGGAATCTTCTCTCATACCCTTGTGACGATGAATTCATTCAGAAACGAGGTGTCCAGAGTGATTGATTCAAGTCGGGAAAAAACTTGCTTTACAATCGACTTAAAACAAATTTGTTAAAAGAAATATCATTTTGTGTCAATCATCTGTCTATTTAATAAATTTGCTATCTGAAAAATGTGTAGTTTCAAAACAATCATAATTTAAAATTATCTATGTAAAAATTTTAATAACTAAATAGTCTATGACACCTTTTTTAAAGAGTCAGTCAGTTCGGAGAAAGTCATTTTTTTTCTGACACCTAAACACATCTATAGTTTAAATATCTTTCAGTATCATTTGTATTGTACTTTTAGATATCATTTTGTGACTTTAATTTTACTTCCAAATCCACGCTATATTTCATAAAAATTTTGAAAATGTATTTAAAAGTAAATTAATTGTAAAGTGAACAAAGAAAATAATTAACATATTGCAAACGGCACTTACAACGAATGTAAATTAATAACAAGAGGGTCAAATTACGCAAAAATATCCATATCTGCGTCAGTTACGCAGTAAAAATTGGAAAAAAATACTTTAAAATGGGTCATTAATCACACAAAGCAAATATATTTTTCAAGGGGGATTTCTTGAAATATTTGGGCTCATCTAAAGGCATGCAGTATTAAAGTGCAGTGCAAGTTGTCATCGTTTGTTTACGTCTGTCTAAACAGTTAATGAATCTCCAGGCTGTTGCTTTTCATAGACCTTTCTTATGGAATGTCTTGGTACAGCAAATAGTTTTTTCAATTTTGTATTTATGTTAAGAAGTAATGATTTCTTTATGGTTTTTGACTAACATAAAAACGAACGTGGTATACTATTATTATGAAAATTATACATTAAGATACACGCATACACAATTTTGTTATCTGGGGTGGCACAATAAAATTTAATTTCAATATTGACTAGTATGCTACACACATTGAAAGTTTCATTATCCACGTCGTGAAAACACACAACGGCGGGTCTCTCAGAATTGTTTAACTCGACAACATGTTTTTTTAAAGATAGAGTTCTGGCTTGAGGTGCGGATTCAAATCCTTGAACAAGTTGAATCAAATCAAACCTATACCATTATAAAATTGCCTTTGCAGTTTTGGGGTGTATTTTTTATGATTTCTACTTTTATCTACTTTATATTTTATAAGTGACGATATGGGCCTAGTACAAGAGAAGATATGGGCGAAGCATCGTGGCAATATGGGCGTTGTATAAGCGATGATATGGGCGTTTAATATGTGACGATATGGGTGTAGTATAAGTGATAAAATGGGCGTTGCATTAGTGAAGATAATGGCGTAGTACGAGTGACGATATCGGCGATATATCGTGAAGATATTGGCGTTGTGTAACTGACGATTAACGTTTCATAAGTGACGATATGAGCGTAGTATAATTGACTATATGGGCGTAGTATAAGTGACGATATGAGCGTAGTATAAGTGACTATATGGGCGTAGTATAAGTAACGATATTGGCGTAATAGAAATAACGATATGGGCGTAGTTAGTATAAGTGACGATATGGGCCTAGTTCTGAAAATTGCATATTCACTTTGTCTCATTGGAAAGTCATACTCCAAGTTTTATCACTGGTGGTTAACTTTTATCATTTTGAGCCAATATCAACAGTGTCTTTGTTATTGGCTAAAATATCGAACCGAGCGATATGCTTAGTTTGATATTCCATAAACATGATATTGACCTTAAAAAGTTTAATGATATTTTATAAAAGAAAAAACAATTCTTCAAATATATGATTTTTGTTTTCTTTCTAGGAAGGCAGTCAAAAAGTAAAAAGAATACATACACACCCAGAGCCCTTTGATTGCCTTGCTCTTTACCAACAAGGCTATACCGAGGACGGTGTTTATGTCATTAAACCAACTGGAAGTTCTGCTACTGATGTGTGGTGTGATATGACCAATGGTGGATGGACGGTTATGCAACGCCGGCAAGACGGATCTGAAGATTTCTACAGAAATTGGGATGAATACAAACATGGATTTGGGAATTGGAGTGGCGAATATTGGCTTGCACTTGAAAACATTTATCATTTGACAAGTAACGACAGTTCACTGCACATATACATGGAAACATTCAAAACTCACAATATGAATCCGTTTTCTGCTTTTGCTGAATATTCCATCTTCAAGATTAATGACGAGAGTGACAAATACAGATTGACGGTTGCAGGGTATCACGGATCGTGCTACAATTCCTTATTGTATCATAATAATTGTCAATTTACAACAAAAGACAATGACAATGATAATGTGGATGACAATAATTGTGCAGTGGCATATAGCGGAGCTTGGTGGTACAAACACTGTCATCACGTAAATCTTAATGGATATTACCTAAACGGAACAAACACTGAATTTGGTCGGGGGATTATTTGGCTCAACTGCTGGAGTCATTATAACTCTCTCAAAATTTCTGAAATGAAAACTAGGAGAAACAATTAAAAACTTTTAAATTATCCATATCATTTGAATGATTTAACTTGATCATTTCATAATTCGTAGATACAAAAACAGACTAAATGTGTTAACAAATACGCTCATGTACCCGCTATATACTTATTTCCAGGAATATATATTATATGTTTTAATTGAACATGAATAAGTTTAATCCTTACGTAAGTCTACATGAAAAAAAGTTTTTGCCCCTTGATACAACAAAAGGCAATCAAGATAACGAACAAAGGTGTAAACAAAATACTTTATTAGATCTCCCGAATATTTGGCTAACACACAAATAAGGTGGATATCCCATCATACTTGAACAATGTCCACAATCCAGATTGTGGTATAATCCTAAATTTATTATGATAAGAAATTTAAGTTTGTACGAAAGCAGTGATTTTATTCACTCAATTGAGAAGAGGCCTTGAGTATGGTAAAACAAAATGTCGCTTACATTTCCAATTAAGGTAAAAAAGAACGTAAGTTCAGATTAATTTTAGAACTACACGATTTCAAATAAAACGTCTATTGGGAAGAGGCCTTTTATCGACCTCAATTAAATAACTTAAAGGTGAAAAATACATTGAATGAAATGACTTTTGAAGATGCATCTAAGTTCAATTAGGTAACGTTTTTTTTTTTGCTGGGGGATTGTGATGAAATAAATATTTTAGTACATTCTAAAGCAAATCGATCTCCCCATTCATAAATATATACAGTTAAATGTTCATCAAAGTATGAAATTAGGTGTCATTACATATGAATGACATTTTGTTTTAATGCTAATTAACGGAACAGATTGTTCTTATCAGAATGACGAACTTTGCTGTAAGCATTTAAATATGGAAACAATGAAAATGGTCAATTTATTAATGATGTTATTTCAATTCAATCTTCGTATCGCGCTCGACAGTACTGAAAAATATTTTCTTTTTTTTTTCATGAATTATATATCAGTCATTTGAAAAGCCATTTAAGTTATTGATATTGATTATGTGATATTCTGATACTGCTTTTGCATTTAGTAAAAATATAGTGGTTAAGTATTTTGTGTGAAAGTCTAAATTCTACTTTGTTTACATTTTGCTTCCATTTTTACAATTGATTTTGCATTCAGAGCTAGTGTCTTCAGGCGATAAGCATATACAATGCTATAAAATCATTATCTAAACTTTATAAAAATTGATATTTGTCCTTTCTAACGAATGAAAAACTTATTCGTTTATAAATGATAATGTGCCTTTAAGCAAATATGTTTTACATAACAATTAACGTCGCCTGCAGACCCTTTATTCTCAAAATAATTCCTAATAGAATTAATTATTCATTGTCCGACACGACCCCGACCAAAGATGCAGACTGGTTAGACAATGAATGTTAAACAACAAAGAGACGTATCTAGACGCTTTGAATGCGTTTAATGCATGTAAAACAAGATCAAGCAGATAATATTTTTGTAGATGTTAACAAGAATATTAAAATATAATAAGAAAAATAGAAATATTTATTTTAGAAGCAAATATGCAGATAAAGAAAAATTGAAGTTCAGCAAACCGAAACCAGTTTGGAAGTACTTTACTTTAAAAAGAAACAAAATTAAGCACAAAACAATGAAATTACAGTAGAAAATCTTTATCGTCATTTTAAATATTTATACAACGTCGTTTTTTAATGTAATAATGAAGAAGCAAATGATTTTTGTGAAGAACATTTTTATGATTCTGAATGTGCTTTCGATGAATTGATTATACCAATTACAATTACTGAAATTTTTGGAGCTGCCAAATCTCTGAAAGGGAAAAATCGGCAGGTCCCGATTTTCTCTTAAATGCATACGTTATACAATCAATAGATATCTTGGGTTCACATATGTGTGATGTATTTAATGCAATTTTTGAGTCTGGGACTTTCCAGATAAATGGACCGAAGGAATAATTGTTCCTAAACATAAAAAGGACGATTTAATAATGTACACACTTACAGAGAAATTACCCTTGTAAGTTGGCTTTCTAAACTTTTTACACCTATTTAAAATAAACGATTAGACGATTTTGTGAAAGTAATCATGTAATCTCAGATGCTCAGTTTGGATTGAGAAAAGGCAGGTCTACTGTTGATTCAATATTCATTTTAAATTCAATCATACAACATTATATAAACACAAATAAACGATAATATGTTGGATTTATTGACTTGAAATCTTGTTTTGACAGTATAAATAGAAATTATCTATGGTTAAAATTATACAAGTGTGGTGTTCAAGGTAAAATCTTGAGTATTAGTAAAGATATGTATGATAAAGTTAAATCTTGTGTACGTTCTGGCAGTTAATATTCCGATTTTTTCATTTATGCAGTGAGTCTAAGACAAGGGGAGGTAATTTCACCTCTGATGTTTAAATTATTTGTTAAAGACCTAGAATTATATTTCCAAAATTATATTTATGTAGGTTTACAAATTTATGATAAAGTTATATTGTTGTTGTTATTTGCTGACAATATGGCAATACTAGGTAAAACACCAGAAGACCTCCAGATAAGTTTAGATAATCTATATAATAACTGCAACTGTCGGGAACTAGAAGTTAATACGTTTAAATTAAGGTTATGGTTTTTAGGAAAAGAGGTTGGGTACTTGCAAATGAAAAATGGTACTACAATGAGCAGCAATTAGAAACAGTTGATAATTTTAACTACCTGGGTACTATGTTCAATTATACGGGCAAATTTGCTTTAAAGCAGGAACACTTTATTGTAAAAGCCTTAAGACATTAAATGTTTTACTATATAATTGTGAAATATATGATATAAAACCTAAACTCAAACGCCAACTGTTCGATTCATATGTGGTTCTATCTTAAATTACTCTGCTGAAGTTTGGGGACATTCTATTTCTTAAGAAATTGAACGTTTTCATCTTAAATTTTGCAAAAAAATGTTCTAAATGTCAGAACAAGTACATGTAATGCAGGTGTTTATGGTGAATAAGGAAGATGGCCATTAAATATTGCTCATTTTGTAAAAATAATCAAGTTTTGGTGTAAAACAATCCAAACTGATAATATAATTATGAAAAATGTTTATGAAAATAGTGTTATTGATTGTGAACATGGATTTAAAGGGATATTCAGGCAAAATAATGTCAAAAATATTAAAACGATCTTTTGTACTCAACTTGATCTAAAAATAACATTTCTAAAAGTTTCAGCGTGAATTTATGTCTAAATTATATATATTTTGGATTTGAAGCTTAAATATATCTATATATGTTGAACAAAATTTAGACGCCAATATAATAACCGAATAGTGTTAAAACATGCCAGGTGACTTGAACAAATCCTTGAAGTTACATTAAAAGATACTGTGGATATAGTATGATTGGAACAAGTCAAAATCATTCATTTGATATGTTCTTTAACGTTTCCAGAGTTCACTGTGACAACTTTTGTGAAATCCAAGCGCCCTAACCTGACCCACGCGGGTCAGGTTAGGAAACCACCATATTATTCTTTATACGGAGAAAAGTTTTGTTCCTTTGACTGTCTAATATATTCATTTTTAGGGCATTTACAGAATAAGGAATGAAAAATTCAAAACTAAGAAATGAAAATTTTGCCTGTGTCTCCCTTTAATAACTGGATCTCAAATGATAAGCGATTATTGTATACATATGGTTTTGCTGATTGTTTTATAAATAGTGATAATGTTGATGGTAAATTATTTCCTAGAATATTTTAAACAAAGACTAATAGATTATTATGTACAAAATTGGCATGGTATAATAGTGTCAGTGCTATAATACTCTTGATATCGAAGATGAATATCATTTTGTTCTGGTTTGTCCTTGTTATAATAATATCTGTGAGACATATATAAAAACATGTTTTTATGTTAGACCATCGATGTTCAAATTTACTCAGTTATTGCAACTTTAAACAAGCTTTTATAATGATGAATTTAGCAAAATACATTAAAAAAAGTTTTGCAATCAGATATACTCTCTTAAATATTTGATTTTTTAAACATCCTTTTGGAAAACATGTTTTTTTACAATTATCATATATCATAACATAATCTTTGTTTGAGTAATCATGCCTTGTTCTTAAATAGTAAAGGTATTTTCTCTTATTTGATACATTATCATATGATATTTGTGTGTTAACATGTATAACTTTTAATGATACTGTTCTCTATCTAGAAAGAAACTGCTCAATAAGTATTTAGTTTTGCTGCTGGTTAACATCCTTCGCCTTTATAGGGAGGGAGATTTACTTTTAGTGCGATGGTTAGATTCACTGGGTAAAATATGGTATACAATATCCTGTGAGGTTGCCAGTAGAATTTCTATTACTGCTATTATTGAGAAAATATTTACTAATTACTCATAACATTATTTTTGTAAACAATGTGCATTCTTTTATATATTCTAAGTATCATACTGTACTTTGTGTTACCATGATCACGTGACGTGATAATTGTTTTATTTATCAATGTTCATGACGATGTACTATGTACAAGTAGAAATAAAACGTATGTTCTGTTCTAACACATAGTGACTTGATTATAGTTTTACATCATTTTGACCTTTTGTGGCATTTTTAGCCTTTCTATGATGTTCAGAAAATAGCGTCACTTATCAGTTTGATTTATGTTCAATGTCAGACTGATGTTTATTTTTTCCACGAATTCTTAGTCATCTGTTTTGACGTTAGAAACAAAACATTACTGAAATTTCGGATGATTTATTTGTCTTGCATTGATTGTTCACATCTCTATATACACGTCGATATACACTGCTGTAGAAAATATGAAAATTAAAGATCTTCAAACAACAGTACAAGTTTGACATGTTTTTATATACAGATAGGGTTGTACATGAATTGATGAAGAACAACGCAAATCAACAGTATTAATATCAATTACAGCGGGAGAAATTAAGAAAATTTAGGATGAAATTAATTATTGCGTCGAGAGAATGTCATTTTTCGTTTGTTTGATTAT